CCGTCAGGTAAGATTGACGAAAACGGATAATTATATCAATAATCCTAAAAAATAAGAATCTAATTCAATATTATAATTTATAATAATAAATGTAGAAATCTCTCATATTCCTCATTGCATTACTCGGCCTTGCTGCCGCATCTACCCCATCTTACAACGTAAAGACTAGAAAAGAAATTATCAATGAAAGATTCTATGAATCTCATGGAAGAATCCAATAAAGAGCCTTGAAATCTGGAAGAGTTATTAGAGCTACATCAAAAGGTCTAACTGGATGTGATAATGGGGCATTTTGCTTTGCCTAAGGACTAGCGTACGGCCTCTAATTCTCTCAATACAAACCAAGCACCTGCTATGTTGCCCTTACTACTTCAATCACATCTAGCGAGGAAATCATTACTAAATTCTGGAAAATCTTTGTTCCAATGTACATGGCCAGTCATTTGTAATTATTGTAAGACAACACCAGTGCTGTTTCTGCCATTGGATGCAATTGCAATGTTCAAGGACTTGTTGACTTTGTTACCAAGGCTCTTGCTGAGGGAATTTCAAGCACCCTTGCTAGTCTTGGAGGCGCCCTTCTATTTGAATTAGGACCACTTACAGCAACCATCACAAGTCCTAGTGCTACAGACTTAAAGAGAGGAATTGCAAGTGGCAAACTTGTCTCTATTTGCACTAGATGGTACGTATGAGTACTATCCCTCAAAGATGGAGCTCTTCGAATGTGTACTCTATCAATACAAGGAAGAAGCAAACTTGATTAATCTAATTCCTATAATATTTATACACATCTATCTGAATACTGTCTTTATTTATTCGTATATTAAGTTAAGTTAAAAATATGTCAAATTCACGGTTAAGCTTCGGTGATTATCGATTTATTTTAAGTTTCAAATTCATTAAGCCTATTGCATTATTTAGTACTTCAACTATTTTAATTCCAAGTTTATTTTTAATTTCTATTGCTTATGCTCTCTTTCTAAAAGCAATTTTAGAATGATGGGGTTTTGGGGTTTTGGGGTTTTGGGG